TTGAAATTGTTTTGTATGCTTGTTGGCTGTCTTGCTGGGAGTTAGATGGCTGTTTGATATCAGTTTTTTAATTACTGACTTTATCCGTCAGTTTATACACACTGATGCCAATTGACAATATCTGGTCTGTAACCCTAGGAGGTTGCACTTGGATCCACCTACGCAGCAAACGTTTCACCTGCATTACCATACATCAATTAAACAGTGAGCAAATTGACAACATCTAGATGTTCATTGTGATGGATTACTTATCTCAGGCAAGTTTCAAGTCTCTGCAAGTTGATTTTATGTCATATAGGCTTGAGTATAAACCTCTGGCTGCTGGAAAAACACAAAGAAATCCACACATCAATCTAAGAAAGGTTGGAAAAAGGTCAGCAGCAGTAATATACAAATTATACAGTTGCAAAAAAGGTGCATACGATATGTCAAACTGCTTGAACTGTCATTAGATTTGGAATAGTACGTAAGATGATGCTTAAAATATATAAATGGTGTGTTTTTGGCTTTCCAGTTGCTGCAATTTTGGCACAGAGATTTAAGTTGACGCTGTGAGTTGAGTCTTTAAGCACACACAAAAACAAACACACACACTGCTGAGAAAGCTGTGGTAATCCCATGATGTTTTGATTACTAGGAGTGCTTGGATGCTGCAAACTATCAGAGAGACCTCAGGTCATGAGTGAGAGCTGGATGAAAACAGAGATTGGAGAACAGTCTGGAGCAGGAGAGGTGAAAGAAGAGGATTACAGGAGGAAGATTCAATTAACAATAGGAATATGGGAGGATAGGAGGAGACAGGAGGGAGATGTAATAACAATATGAGGTGAAGGGATAAAGAAGGAGATAAGAGAGCGATGCGTCATCTCTCACACGTAAACACAGACAGCGTAGGTCAGATTCTGAAACAACATATCAAAGCAGTGGAGCACGTGTTGTGTCTTACAGCTCAGGTGTCTTTCTGATTTATGAATGAATGTTGTTATTGTAAAATAGTTGTGTAATGATCCCCGTTCTGTATGAATCAGCCTCCAGAGATGCAGCCATACCACTGTGTTGTGTTACTAACCCCACAGAGAGACACTGAATAACCTCGGTTTTATTTATCCTCTGTGTAGAGTTATGGACCAAAGGTAGAGATGAACCAACTACTTTTGTCCCCGGACATTTGTCACTCTTATTGCCAATCTAACTTATGTATTTGACAAAGAAGTAAACAACAACACATTGAGCTAAATAGATACTCCTGACATTATTTCGACAAATCCTATGAAATTAACCACAGGTGATTTACAAAAATACAACGTGTCATTGCATGTTAGTGTGTACTTCATGACTAGTGTGATTGCTCACATCCTTTTTCTTCCTCCTGCTTTGCATTATTTCAACACCAACTCTTATTCTCAAAATGGATTTTTTGATAAGATTGAGTTCTCGTGAAATCCTAAACCTAGTTTGTAGAGCTGAATGGATGCAATGTTCAGTATGTCCTTACATTACATTTATAATATATACAATTTTGAGGTGACAAAACATAAGTTTTACTAATTGTTGGACTCGATAGTGCACATTCAGCAGGCAGTCTTATGATACAATTGTCACCTACTCAAACACCATGCCATGCTCAAAGTCACTACATCTTGTGTAGAAGCTTTACTACTATACTATATATAGTATAGTTGAATAACTAGTTACCTTGTGTAACAACATAAACCTTTTTCTTTGAAAAAACTCTAGAAATCCTTATTGGCAGTTTTTTTTGTGCAATATAAGTTTTAGATTTTCACTTTATTTCTTACTGTTTTATTCTAAAGCGCTTGTTACCAAAGTGACGGTTATATTCCAACATAAATACAAGGAGTCAACAAATGACATTTCTCTTAAACCTCACCTTTTAAGGCCTTTAAACATTCTTATAATAAAACTATTTAAGAAGGAAAAAACACAAATAGACCTTGTTTATTTTGTATTGGGTTGAATCCAAAAATGTTGGCATCCACTGTAGGATTGCATTTAAAAGAGAACGTTTCAGCTTGCAAACAGTAGCACTCTGTCGCAGACTCATGCTGACATTGTGAAGAAGTTGCTCCTTTAAGGCCAGAGATAACAATGGCAGCATCAGATTCACGTACAGATAATGGAGCTAACAATGACAAAGTTGCACTAATGCACGTGTAACTATAGACCGCAGAGTCCTGTGGGTCCTTAGGGGGAGAGAAACACAACCTGTGAACAGATTACTTAGTAACAGGGAGCCACATGGCTTTATAAAGGAGATGGTATTGCTCCTGAGGGACTGGAGCACTGTGTGTGTGTGTGTGTGTGTGTGTGTGTGTGTGTGTGTGTGTGTGTGTGTGTGTGTGATGTGTGTGTGTGTGTGTGTGTGTGTGTGTGTGGTGTGTGTGTGTGTGTGTGTGTGTGTGTGTGTGTGTGTGGTGTGTGTGTGTGTGTGTGTGGTGTGTGTGGTGTGTGTGTGTGTGTGTGTGTGTGTGTGTGTGTGTGTGTGTGTGTGTGTGTGTGTGTGTGCTGTGTGTGTGTGTGTGTGTGTGTGTGTGTGTGTGTGTGTGTGTGTGTGTGTGTGTGTGTGTGTGTGTGTGTGTGTGTGTGTGTGTGTGTGTGTGTGTGTGTGTGTCGTGTCTTGGTGGCTGGTGTGACCACATTCTTTTAAAAGGGAGTGCTATCTGTCACCGATGTCTGATGAGCAGATTTTCTCTGGCAGGATTCAGGAAATGTCCCACACAGATTCTATTAATCACAGATCTGATAACATATACAGACTGACACATAAACATTTAAGCGCACATATGTTGTTTTTTAATGGTTCGTCTGTTTCTGAGAGCATGGCTTACTGTGTGTGTTTCCGGTATTTAGGTATAGTCACCTTTGCAGAGTTAAGCTCGTTATGCGTGAAGTCAGATTACTCAAAGCTCAAACAGGTGTGAACTTACATAATGCTATGTCTCTTTAAACGTGGCGTGCTTTTAGGGTTCTTAAATAAGTAATCACTTACAGCAGTGTGCCTGAATAAACACATTGTTACTGCTTACAACAGCGTTCCTCAGTGAACTGTTCTCTCTCTCCTCCCCTTGCTTTGTGCAGGAGAAGCAAAAAACATCCCTCCATACCCTGGACCAAACAGGATGAGAGACTGCTACTGCACCGTCAACCTGGACCAAGAAGAGGTGTTCAGGACCAAGATCATTGAGAAGTCCCTTTGGTACGTTGAGGGGCCCTCCACCCTTATTTGTGTGTCATTCTTTCCATCTGTGTACAGAAACGTGCAAACATGAATGTCAAATTATATCCACTTCCTCCTCGTTCAAAACTCAAGGTTGAGACACTATACAAACGTAAACACAAATAGTAAATCCCTGCCTTCATGAATTTGAAGAAAACATTGACTTTAAATGTTATCACAACTATTATAATATAAGTATTTAAAGATAACTTTACTATTCGTGTCCCTCAAATAAATGCATTTTATATCAATAATTTTTCTTACTCTGTGTCATGGTGTGTTGTTATATACAAAGCTGAACTTATAAGTAGGGGAAATTAGATTATATAACGTAAGAGAAAAGCTAGTGTAAATGTATCACAAAAGGAATTTATTTACAAAGCTTTCAAAACATATAACCTAATTCACCCAGATGCTTTGCAGATACTGCGTAATGTACCACAGTTTAACTTACAGATCATGGGTTGCTGAATAGATTACGGTCCCCTTCCTTCCACTTTGATTACACAGCCCCAAGCTTTCACATTTTTCATCCGGCTGATGAGGAAACGAGTACAATTATTTCGACACACATGGTAGCCTGAATGAAACTTAATAGGTTTGTTTATAAATGCAGTCATGCCTGCCTATACATCCATCCGCCACCCCACCACCCCCCCTCTCTGTGTGTCTTTTTGTCTGCTGAGTTACAGAAGAAGTCAGTAATTGTTAGCAGCGGCCCTGAGGGCTCCGCTCACGAGACTCACATTGCTGTAATGTCTCTATGGCTGGTTTAGGTGAGGCAGAGCCTGGTGGAGGATGTACCTTCCAGCCAGTCTTCACAAACAGGAGTATTGTTGTAGACCACATGACTCATGCCAAGATGTAAATGCATGGGATCTTTATTTGTTGACGTGGACAAAATCAATCATCTTTGGGCAAGAATGACAAAAGAAGTATGTCTGTGATGTTTGCATGAAGGCAATTTTTCTGACCAGGATACCCATAGTAAGAACACACTGAAAATCATTCTGGGAAGGAAAGGAAGTGTTTGAATATTAACCAATTAATGAATTGTTGATTGAATGAGTAAACGCTTGAGATAAAGAGGTCAGTCACACAAAGATTATTATACCTTAACTAGCTGGTTGGACAAAGGCATCTCCTTGTTTCACAGAAATGTATCCTATATTCTTGTCCTTATTGACACACTCCGCCAACCTATGTTTTCAAGAGATCTTCCAGACATAACTCCCTCTTTTTTCTGGATAACTAAATATGTAATAATGTGTTTGTGCTAAAACATGCTCAAACAAACCAGAGGAGTCTCTAATCACAGTTTGCCTCGTCTTTGCTTTGACCTGCAGCCCATTCTACGGCGAGGACTTTTACTGTGAGATCCCGCGCAGCTTCAGACACCTCTCCTTCTACATCTTCGACAGGGATGTCTTCAGGAGGGACTCCAGTATCGGTAAGTAAACAGAACTAGTTACACTGTTGTGTTATAAATGACAGTATACAATAAACAGAAATAAGGTAACAATACGTTTAATAAATATTGAATCCTTTGAGTCTTTTCTCAAGAACAACGTTTTGAGGATTAGCTGTGTTTCTATGTTATGTATGACTGTAAGTAACCTCCGCTTTCAATTTCCAATTAATAGATGAAACACTTCAACTTTTATCCAGGAAAAGAGTAATTTATATATCGTTAATACATTTGAGTAGTTACCTGTTTCACATTATCAAACATGGAGATCCCAAGGTCTGAAGATTTAACATCTAATTTTCAAATGAGCCGTGTGTATTTGTCAAATACAGATTAGCTTTATATCACTTGGCCAATCAAACTTGAGAATCACAACAACCATAAGCACAATTACACAAAATATGTTTTACTTAGAGTTGCGAGAGGTTACATACTAATGTTGTTACCCACAGACATAGCTAGTTGTTCCCAGTCTTTATGCTAAGCTAAGCTAACCTGTTCTGGCAGATGCCTCATATTAAACAGACAGATATGAGATTGGTATCGATCTTCTCATTAAACAAATAGTCATCTTTCACACATTGTTTAATGATTTATTTTAGATCCCTTAAAGCACCACTGTGTCGGTGTGTGTGTGAGAGAGGATGACTATCAGTGTCATTGGGTGTGTCAGTGTGCCGATGTGTGTATGTGACCACAAACCACTAACTGAAAAATCTGTCTCAGGGTGGGATTTGTATCATCAACAGCCCCTGTTAATGTGTGTGTGTTTACTTGTGGGTGTGTTCGTAAGTGTTGTAAACAGAAAAGTACCGTGTTAGTTTCAGGGTAGAGTTGACAGGGTCATTTCCAGGCCACTGACAGAGTGTGAGCACCAGGTGCCTACACGTATTAAAGAGAGACTGGAGTGTGGATTGACAGCGTGTGAGCAGGTGTGTGGGTGTTTGAGTGTTTGTTGAAGCTTGCATCTGAGCACGTAGGTGGTATTTCTTTTTTTCGAAAAATTACTTTTTTTTTTGAACTCATCTGTTTTTGCCTGTTTGTCAATGTGTGTGTAGGCAAGGTAGCAGTGAAGAAAGAAGACCTGCAGAAATATCACGGCAAAGACACCTGGTTCCAGCTCCAACCTGTCAGCGCTGACTCAGAAGTGCAGGTCAGCACAGAGGGAAAACACACACACACACACACACACACACACACACACACATGCACACACCAGCATTTTAAAGCACTATCCCCTGATCTTCTATTATTCTTATCTTGCAGATCCTCTTGTTCTTTTGTTTCTCAGTTTCTTCACTGAAACCACTTGACACGTATTGGTCTGGTTTCTCTTTGGTGTCCTTTTGATACTCAAAGCTGGCATTGAATACTTGCTCACATAGAAATCTTTTTCACTTAGTCTTGATTTCTTTGAAGGTTTTGGTGTAAATTCTGAATAGATTCCTTTGGCGGATTGAGCAAAGCTTTTATTTGGGACATGGTTTTATGAGGGAGGACTTTTTTGTAATGAAGTTTCACTAGATTTATTCCATCAGTACAAGCAGAAAGTCACAAGTCCCATTTTGCTCATTACCTTAAATGGTGTTAAGCTGCTATTATTGAAACTTGGTGTGTCCTCTAGAACGAAAACCATCAGAGAATGTGGATTTTGATTGGTGGTAACATAACATCGATCAGGAGAATGGATTGACTTATATTGTTGTAATGGTGGAACAAGTGCCTGTGAACATTTACATTACAATGATTTATCATGTAGCTGTTGTAGCATGCTACAGGTTATTAAATCCAATGTTATGTAATTAACTAGCAATCTTGTATTTGTTTATCATGGCCTGTATTTGAATACTCTCATATGGTAAATTGCAGTATGTCACTCTTAAAAGAGCAATCAACACACATCACATCACATTCTATCTAAAAAAGTTATACGCATTAAATACACCCTTGCTCATTTCATTACAGTAAGGGGTCTTGCCTAAACAATCCTGCAGTATTCGGTCTTGTATGAACAGAAGCTTCTGGAGCTGTATGTTAGCTAATGTTAGCAAGCTTTGGATTAATATTGTTTAATAGATAGCAACTTTACTAAATTGATTAGCTGACATTATGACCTCACTATACTTAGTCTACAATCACATTATACATTTTCATTTTAACCCTAACTGTAATTTGTGGCCACAATAGTTTAGGTTCAGCAAAAGTAACATGAACTTGCTTTGAAATTACAAAATGTTGGTTTATTTAAAGGAAAGGTTTACATAGACAAACATGTTGTCCCTTAAACAAAAGTATGATAAAATTATTTTCGTTTCAAACGATACCAAGCCATAGACAATTGTCCTATTCAGTATGTGCATTGATGTGTGATGATGAGTGTGTCTGCATTTTAATGTTTGAAGCAAGGCAGAACCCAAACAAACACAGCGTGTGTGCACCAAAAACATCTAAGCCTGCAGGGTCAAAGTCACCTGGCTCTCAGTTTATACTCTAGATCCGTCTACCTCCATCCCAGCTCTGTTTGTGCTCAGCTGGTGAGAGAGTGAACACACAGGTTTAATCGGAAACATAATGTTTTCCACATTCTCAATTCTCATTAGTGAAGCTGTGAAATAAAAGCCAACAGTGTGTGTTTGGGTCACAGGTTGTTTTTTAGATGTTCTGTAGTGGAATAATGACATCACTGGTTCTGGTTTAATGGCGTTAAAAGGAGACCATTTTTTTGGTAATTTTGAGAGACAGTCTTCCTGACTGTAATGTTTACATTTGATCTCAATGTTTGCATTTTTGTCTTTTTTCCACTCACAGCTCTGTTTATGTTAATCCAATGCACAACCAAATAGACACATGTTTTTTGTAGAAAATCTGCTCAAGCTAATTTAGTAGCCTTTTATGGTTGACATTTGTTTTTCCTGCCAAGCAGTTAACACATCTCATTTGTTGTTATCACCAAGTTGTAAACAAGCTAGGAAGTACATGTATTATTAAATGCATTAATGTGACCAAATCTGTCATTTTTCTACAACCATTGAGTTATCTGTGAATCGTTCAATCTTCTAGTGATCCAGTCTGGAGCTGTTGCATTTTGCCTCACTTGTCTTACATGCATATTGAAAATGTGCAAGATCTTCTTCTATTCTGTGTTCAGCAGTCTAACACACATGCATGTATACACACATTCATGCATGCACGCACACACCCAGCACATAGTACCACACACACACACACAGTGTGAGACACAGTGAACAGTAACATCTGCAGACAGATGGGTGTGAGCAGCCCTGGAGCAGGGATCTGAAACAGAGACACATTCATCCGAGGAGCCGGGGAGAGGAAGGATGTGTGAGAGATTGAGAGAAAAGAGAGAAAGCGAGGGAGATGGATCAAATGAAGTAGGAAGATAGAGTGTCTCTTTTCTCTTTTCAATAGAGGACACATTGTTTGGCCTGTGCGCACATGTGTAAGTGCGTGTGTTTGTTCCTTCAGCTTGAATCGGCCAAAAAGAGCAACGCCTGTGAGTTTGCATACTGATGCTGTTAATTAAAGGAGCTTTTCTAGACAGCTGCACCACTACACTGTCATTATGTCATTAATCCAATCACTTCAGAGGGAAAATAACTTAAGCATGACGCTCAGCCTCGCAGTTATTTACATACAGTGTCTCTGTTGGCGGAGGAATGCCTCTTTATTCATGATTGTGTATGTTTTTGTTTTGTACTGGGATTTATCGAGGAATAATTATTGTTGAATGTATTTTGGGCTTTCCTTGGATCAGATCTTCTCTAAAACAGTTTTAACCATTTAGAATAAAGATAGAGTATATCATTAAATATGTATATTGCGATACATTTGGAATTTCTATGTTTGGCACTTAGATCCTAGAGCAGAGCACCTGGACTCGTGTCCAATGAAAACAAGGGATTTCCAATAATGTGTTTTCAGAGATAGTTTAACATGTTTTTATTGGTTGAGAGATACATGATTGAACCTGTTTCATTATTCATTATATGATTATGGATTGTCACCAAACCAGTTTAACTTACATTGGTTAAGGTTGCATGTTGTCTGCAGAAATATGTCTTGTATCCAACTCCATTTCACATTTACACAAACACATTGATGAGTGCATAGGTTTGTCACCTGTCTCTGGGCCGTGCTGAAGTGTTCATAAGACCTCTGCAGAACATTGAACATTTAAAGTGACTATTTGTGTGTTTGTGTGTTGCAGGGAAAAGTACACTTGGAGCTGCGTCTGAGTGAAGTCATCACTGACAGTGGAGCCATCAACCATAAACTAGCCACACGGTGGGACTGCAAACACACACACACATTGTAATTTCCTGAGAAAAATGCACATTTTCTGTAGAAGGGTATTTCATAGCTTTATAACACTTCCAAGTCAGTACATCCTGTGTGTCATGTCCACAGTAACTGTGACCTCTCTGCATCCATTGCTCTTGTCTTAAATATCTTGAATCAAACTGTTAAACTCAGAGTATGTATCCCGCTGATTGGTGATCCTCTCATTTATCCCTGTAGCCCTTTGATGATAAAATGTCATTTAATGACCACATTCCTGCAAAAACTGCAGACAAAACATTACCATCAGCGGCATCTGTACTTTGTGTTTAGCGCTAATTAGCAAGTGATAGCATGTTGGAAACAGACTAAACTAAAGTGGTGAACATGGTTTTATGTTGATAGATATGCTGCGGAGGTCATGGACTCATAAATCTGCCCCTACTAAATGGTTTCAGTGTGCGTGTTGCTATGTATTAAATGTTATTGCACACACATGTGATTTTTGATCTTCAGTGTTTGCAGGGGATCAATGATGATGATATGCTTATCTGGATGGATTAGTGTGTGTGTGTGTGTGTGTGTGTGTGTGTGTGTGTGTGTGTGTGTGTGTGTGTGTGTGTGTGTGTGTGTGTGTGTGTGTGTGTGTGTGTGTGTGTGTGTGTGTGTGTGTGTGTGTGTGTGTGTGTGTGTGTGGTGTGTGTGTGTGTGTTGTGTGTGGTGTGTGTGTGTGTGTGTGTGTGTGTGTTGTGTGTGTGTGTTGTGTGTGTGTGTGTGTGTGTGTGTGTGTGTGTGTGTGTGTGTGTGTGTGTGTGTGTGTTGTGTGTGTGTGTGTGTGTGTGGTGTGTGTGTGTGTGTGTGTGTGTGTGTGTGTGTTGTGTGTGTGTGTGTGTGTGTGTGTGTGTGTGTGTGTGTGTGTGTGTGTGTGTGTGTGTGTTTGTGTGTGTGTTGTGTGTGTGTGTTCTCCAGCTCTTCTTTTGCAGCATGCAGCAGTAAAGTCTGATGATGAGCCAGCATGGCCCTGTTCCCAGAGCGCATATTGGTTAAGGAGCTTAGAGCAGGAGGTCATCTAGTCAGATTTCTCTAGAAAGACACGTGTGAGAGAGAGAGAGAGAGGAGAGAGAGAGAGAGAGAGAGAGAGAGAGAGAGGAGAAGCATGTTTTATTGCAAAGTATACTTTGTTTAGTGTTGTTTACACTAAAATGCATTCATCTTAAAATGTGCTTAAGAGTACAATACATAAAATACTAAATAACAAAAACAAAAGAGAAAAATACACAACATGCATACAAATACAAGAATACAAATTAACCAACCTTTAAAAAAAAAAAAGTCAAAATAATTTAAATAATATATAAAAATTATTTCACTCTCAAGTTCATATTCCTACTGATAATGACCTTTAACTTTATAATAACACAATTGATGTGGAAGAACCTGAGCAATTGTCTTTTTTCATTCCACACATCCTTTTTCATTTTTGAAACACTACCTAAATAACCCACAATGTAACCCGACCACCGACAGTTGTTTCGGAGATTTGGCTGGTTCTTCACTCAACACTTCCTTATTTTTCATATTCAAACTTGTAGTTTTCAGCTACTCAAGGGGACATGATGTGAGGCAATGTATCAGAGTTCAGAGAGCTCCCTCTTGGCCACAATAAGCTTTATCCATTTGTGGATAGTAATTGCAAAGGACCTTCATTGAGCTCTTTGGTAACTACCGATAGCTACAGAGAAAAGCGCTAACCTCTTTCCTTTGGCTGTAGATACATCTCCCATGTGCTGTTAATCCAATCTTCATATTCTCTGGTTTATAGATAACCAATCTAAACACAGGAGGTGTAGGTATTATCTATTGCTATCAGGCAAAACGTGTTCATGCCACTCCAATTAATATGTTGAATGTAGGTTTCTAACTTGTTATTGAGCATGTTTACAATATAGCTTCGAGTCACTTTAAAACATCTAAATACTTCCTCCAATATTTAAAAATACTGACAGACAGAAGAATAGGTCATTTTGTAACCGTGAATTACATCTGGAAACAAGAAACATGTTTTACCTAAACATACTATTTACTGTTCTGATTTATGTTTAATTTCACTTATTTGTAAGAGTGCACCCCTCAGTGACACAAACTCATCATAACATCTGCTTTTATTGTGTGTGGTTTGGGCCCTATGAGGTCATTCATTTCCCTCTTACTTGAGTCAAAATGTTTTTGATAGCTTACGTGGGTGCAGAATAGAAACACATTAACCTAAAATTAGTAACGTGGGCTAAAGACAACAAAGTCTGCTTCACCACCGCTGTCTGGCCTGTCAGAGCTCACAGTGGTGATGAGAGAGAAAGGGGGGGGGGGGGGGCTGGAGAGTAGGCCAAGCAGGGGTTATATAAACAAGCTTATTGGACAGGAAGCGCTCTGGCATTAGTGATGCTTAACCCAGCCCTCTCCTTATTCCTTGTTAGGAACCTGTGTGTGGGTGTGCATCAGCAGCGTGGTGCAAGCTGTTGCTTGTGTAGTCAGTTCAGCTGGGGGCAGTGCATTGATTTGGTGTGTGTAATTCATCATACGGTGGGAGCGGGGGTGTGAGTAGTTGTGCATCACCCTGGCACATAGGAAGTGATTCACCCCGCTGGTGTCCTGGTCTGTTTGGGTGCTAATCCCCTTACAGCATGATGTCATCCATCACAGGAACGCATGGATGTCACCCTAATTCTCTACTTTTATCTGTTTTTCAATCAGCACGTGAAAACCCGTTTTCTGAGGGATGTGGATTTTTTTGAATAAAGGCTATACATTCAGACACTGATGATCCTCTATTCAGTGTAATCGTCACTTTACAGTGTGACAGTGAAATATCTGTTTTCCCACCGGTCTTCCTAAGAATCTGCTATTCCTTTTCAGAAAACACCATATTAGAACTTTATGTTTTCTGTATGCGTACGTTGTACTACATTAAGGGTGTGAAGACAGTGGCAAATTAAAAGCTTAAGTAGCATATTGTTTAAATTGTAATGTATGGTTGTGCAGAAATCTTAAAATGCAGGAATCTATGGATGTCATTTAGAAAAAGTCATTTCTGCAGAACCAGAGAGAAAAACGTTATGCTGCTTTTCTTTTTTTGTTGATCAGGGATGTTTGAATCCTATTCTGGAAACACATTGAGGATTACATCCTACCTGAACTGAGGATATGGTCTCAGCTTTTTATTTGAGTTTCTCTTTGGCCTCTCTCAAGTGGTGTTTGTGCTGTGTGTGTAGTTGCTGGATCACACTGGATTTACAGTTGGCACAACTCACCGCCAACAGCTCAAAGGGAATTACTTCCATCTCTTTTCATCTGCCCTTCTCTCAGCATCGGCCTTTCTTACACACACACAGACACACCTCATATTGACGCAGGGGACCATTTTCACTTGCTGGGAAAACTCTCAGAGAGCTATATACTTGGTCCCAAATGTATTAACAAGACTCCCAGCGTGGGAGGGAACTAGAGTGTGAATGGACCAGATGTTTTATGTCTGTGAAAAGGGGGCGGTTTAATGAGTTGCCTGATATGATATGATGTACATAAATGTGTGTTTCATTCATGGTTTGTGTGTGTGTTTCCACAGAGTGTTGGAGTGCCAAGGTCTTCCTATCGTTAACGGCCAATGTGATCCGTACGCTGCTGTGTCCTTACTCGGCCCTTCAAGGTAAGATCTCTCACATGATTAGATGTCATTTTACCGTACTCAACTTTGTTTATCACACGTTTGATTTCTAATAAACATGTGTTTTTGTGATCTCCATCTGCCTCTCTTTATCTCTCAGGTCGGAAGCCAAGAAGACCAAAGTGAAGAGGAAAACCAACAACCCACAGTTTGACGAGGTTTTCTATTTTGAGGTAAATATTTTGGTGTGATTTGTTTAACAGCAACTTCACGTCAGTGTAAAGATGTGTCTTTATGTTGGGTATCAATCCAAGTAGAGGTATAGTGAGGGTTAAAACAATTATGTGAAAGCTGGAATATACAACCATATTTCATTGTTGAGTTATTTTTATATAATTCTAGCACAGTCCCATCCAACTTCAGAGGTCGAAATTACCAGCATAGGTGGGAAATACACCGGTGTTGATGTACAGAGCCTTCAATAACCACCAAACAGACCAAAAAAGGAATGAATATAACCAGGACTGGTCGAGTCATTTTGGTAAAACTAGGTACAAGTTAAGCAAAAAAAATTTGAAAATCAGACATCTCAAATAAACATATATATTGTGTAGGTTTTTTAACCATGCCAGGTTTTAGGTTAAAAAAGTTAACTGGAAACACTGCATAATAGTTTTGTGTGATATATATATATATATATCACACAAAACTATTATGCAGTGTTTAGAGTTCCATATATATATATATATATATAGTTTGTCTTTGTTAAAAATCTCACAATTCATATTTCTATCATTAGTCAATATATATATATATGTCTTGTACACACATAGACACACTTACAATCTCCATTTCATGTCATTATTTTTAAATGGTTCAAATGAATGTGATAAAAGTTGAAATTATAAGAAAAAGCTACTGGAAAAACATAAAGTCATGCAGTCTTTCACTGAATGTGTAAAAGCGTGTCAATGTTCACATTTGATCATATTCATGAGTTTATTTATTTTTTTGCACACACACCCTCCCTGTCACACTGCCCCCGTTAACCCTCGCTCCCCAGCTACACTGCTCTGACATTTTTGTGTCGCTCCTCCCTATGGCCCCTGCTGCAGCGCTGGAAGACAGCAGGACAAGAGTATGATTGATTCGGACAAACCACCAAACAATCTAGCCCATTTATTTCTATCCGACAAGACTGTCTCATTTATTCCCGACCACCACAGGAACAGGACTCATACCCTGCAGAGCATTCTGCCCGCGGACCCCTTTCAGGCCCTGTCCTCACGCAAACAGAGACCATCTATCATGCTTCTGTCATGTGGTTGTCCCTGTTTTTAATTGTTTCAAATTGTATCTTCTCATTGCTCCATACTAACATAGACACTGCCACATTCTGATCTCTGATGGCTCCCATGTGGATCCAAATCTGTCAGATAGTGAGTTTAGAGTTTGATTTGGGCCATTTTTAAATATGTTTTTCAACTAATAATTTCAATCAAAATTAACAACTAGATTTGTCAAAAGTGATCCTCTCATTTGAGAAGCTAAAACCCATGACTGAAACAATACTGTATGTGCTTTCACCAGCTTGGTTTTTTGGTATACAATGTGACTTCTAATCGTTTACTCTGTCTCCATTTCTAGGTGACACGGCCATTAAGCTACACAAAGCGTCAATTTGATGTAGAAGAAGAGGATGTTGACAAGTTGGCACTAAGGTAAGCCATTGGCAGCCTTAAGGGGATTTGAATAGTTTGGTTTGTTAAAAAGTTTTCCATGTTTAAATTGTACCCTTTGGTTTGTGTTCAGGGTGGATCTGTGGAACGCCAGCAACCTGAAATTCGGGGATGAGTTCCTGGGGGGGGTGCGAGTTCCTCTGCGCGCGCTGGGTCAGGCTGGGGTCCACGACGCATGGTGAGAGGAGCATCACACACACACACACACACACACACACACACACACACACACACACACACACACACGTTACATCGTCACATACACACACTCTGTCAATCATTTTGGTGTGTTTTATGGTTTTGTTCCACTATACCCTGCTGGGGCTGGGTGTGTTTGATTCAATGATCATTGTCCATTGACTTTCTGGGTATGTGTTGCTACAGCAACAGCAGAGCTGTAGTATCAACACGGACAACAGTCCTTTTTTAAAAGTTTTTAATTAACCAGGATCAGTGAAGGCTTTTTAACAAATAGCTGATCCAACAGACTGTTTTTGTATTTCATTTATTTTGAATAACTAAAGCCTCCATTGGTTGTGGGAGCATTTTGTTGGAAATGTTAACAAGGAGAATGAACATTGAGTAGTCAGTGCAGTCCGTAACAGAAAGGAACAACATATAAAGAGAATATATTTAGCAATTGTCTATATCTATGTGACAGTTAGACCTGCTTTATCTTGTTCTTTTCGGCAAAGCTCTTAGTCTTAACACTGCATTAACACATGATGGCCTTTTTAAAATGAGAAGGTGAACAGTTGCCTGTTAGCAAATCCAGTTAACACTGGGTGTGACCCTAGATAACAACCTGTCCTTCACTGCAAACATCGCTGCTACAACCCGCTGCTGCAGATACACGCTTTACAACATCAGGAAGATACGTCCCCAGCTGACTCAGAAAGCGACGCAGGTTCTGGTCCAGGCTCTCGTCATCTCACGCCTAGACTACTGTAACTCCCTCCTGGCTGGTCTACCTGCATGTGCCATCCGACCTCTGCAGCTCATCCAGAATGCAGTGGCTCGTTTGGTCTTCAACCTTCCTAAATTTTCCCACACCACTCCGCTCCTCCGCTCCCTTCACTGGCTTCCGGTAACTGCTAGAATCCACTTCAAGACACTGGTACTTGCTTACCATGCTGCGAATGGATCTGGCCCTTCGTACATCCAGGACATGGTTAAACCGTACACCCCAGCGCGTGCACTCCGCTCTGCATCAGCCAAACGACTCGCTGCACCCTCGCTGCGAGGGGGACCCAAGTTCCCATCAGCAAAAACACGTGGGTTTGCTATCCTGGCTCCAAGATGGTGGAATGAGCTCCCCATTGACATCAGGACAGCAGATAGCTTGCACATCTTCCGGTGCAAACTGAAAACTCATCTCTTTCGACTCCACTTCGAGCGATAGATTTATTAACGAAGCACTTATATACTAATAAAGGACTGGCTTATCTATAGCCAGTTGAGTAGCACTTGAAATGTTTGGCTCTATGAAACCTGATGTACTTATATGATTCTGTTTTCCTCAAGGTTGTGTCTTCCTGGTCGAATCTACTTATTGTAAGTCGCTTTGGATAAAAGCGTCAGCTAAATGTAATGTAATGTAATGTAATGTAACACGGAAACACATTAGCCTTCACTTGGAGTTCCCCAACAAATGTAATTACAATATTCATTCTCGTAGCTCAGATTTGTTCTCCATCAACTGTTTAGGGACATATCTGCTGGAAGTGAGAGTGAACCACAACAATTGGGTTGGTTGCCTGAAAACCAAAACATTAAGACAATACCATTTAAAGATGCTTAAAAGATCTGTAGAGCTGACTGAAACTTCAGAGTTGTGTAGTACTTCTTAGTGGTGTTTTTTGCGACTACCAACACCTTTTACCCCATTTTTATCATTGCTTATAGAACATTTTGGATTTGCTTAGCTTGCTATGTGTTAGCACTATTTAAATAAGACAATTGTCTCCCATCCATCACAATCCCACCAGTGAGCAGAACTGTTGGTCTGATCTTTTGTATGTTTTCTCCTTCAGGTACTTTCTTCAGCCCAGGGAGAACGGAGGGAAGTCGGTGAAGGTGGAAGAGCTTGGCTCTCTGCGTCTAAACATCGTTTACACCGAGGACCACGTGTTCCCCTCCGAACACTACTCCCCCCTCAGAGATCTGCTGCTGCACTCCGCTAATGTACAGGTGTGTGTATACGAGTGTCTCCGGTTTCCTGCAGCATCTTCACACCTCACTGTTTGAATGGCACATGTTGACTCTGCTCCTCTCTGTCCAGCCTGTATCGTCGTCCACAGCTCACACTCTGGGGGAGGTGTGTCGAGAGAAACAAGAAGCCGCCATTCCCCTCGTGCGTCTGTTTCTTCACTACGGCAAGATTGTGCCTTTCATCAGCGCCATCGCTCACGCTGAAGTCAACCGCACACAGTAAGTGTCCCTGAATCAATGCTCAACAATGACTACTTATAACATTTACAATTAAGTTCATAAAGTTATACCTGACAGTCCAGCTGTGCATCCGTCTCATCCTTTATTATAGATTAAACAACTCTTAGTTTAAGTTTGCTCTTTTTTGTGCTCCTCATCCTGATTGTTCTCTCTTATATTGTTTAAAGGTCTCTTCCCTTTATATATGTATCGTTTTTTTACTAAGCTGCTGTTTTGATTTGTATGGAAAAAACACCCTGTCTCTCTGCGTAGGGATCCTAACACAATTTTCCGGGGAAACTCGTTGACATCCAAGTGCATTGATGAGACCATGAAGCTGGCAGGAATGCATTATCTGCAAGTCACGCTCAGACCAATCATAGACGAGGTATGACACTGCCAATCTTACTCTTATTTCTTGATTTCATTCATGTCACAAATCTTTCTCTGTAGCACCTCTTAGAATATTTTGCTTAATCAGTCATCAATGGATATATCACTACTTTTGTAAATCTTCACAGATCTGCGCAGAACACAAACCCTGTGAAATCGACCCGGTCAAGCTCAAAGAGTCGGAGAACCTGGATACTAACAGGGTAAGAAGATGTGTGTGTGTGTGTGTGTGTGTGTGTGTGTGTGTGTGTGTGTGTGGTGTGTGTGTGTGTGTGTGTGTGTGTGTGTGTGTGTGTTGTGTGTGTGTGTGTGTGTGTGTGTGTGTGCTGTGTGTGTGTGTGTGTGTGTGTGTGTGTGTGTGTGTGTGTGTGTGTGTGTGTGTGTGTGTGTGTGTGTGTGTGTGTGGTGTGTGTGTGTGTGTGTGTGATCTGACATATCTGCCCTGCCCCCCGTCTCCAGGAAAACCTTCACCACTATGTGGACCGTATCTTCAACGTTATCACCACATCAGGCGTTCGCTGTCCCACTGTCATGTGTGATATCTTCTTTCTCTTGAGAGAGTTCCGCTGCCACCCCGTTTCCAAGGTAACTCTGCCTGCTAATGGCCCATAAGAGATATAGGACAGAAAATAGGTGCTATTAAGAGACAGATAATATACAATAAAGAACATCATGTGCAGTATGTTTAAGGACACTCTCTGTTTTTCTGCTATTTGTGTCAAACCTGAAAACACTTAAGCCTCCCACACATTCAGTTTGGTTATACAGTATGTGCAGTATGGAGTATTCTACCCTGTGCTGCCCCCTGTTGGCCATCACAGGGATCTGCAGTTTAGCACGAGGAACATGCTGTTGTGATACAACATCTATTGTTGGTTAATTATAAGCTAACAAAAATAACTTATTTTGTATTGAATTGAGACATCTCATTGAATAAAGTTGACTTTTTTATTGCAGATGTACTATACATATCGTGTCTTGGGTATATTTTGAGCAAGTACAGTGTGTGTGATAAATCCCTGTTTCTTTCTTCTGTCTAGTTGACCAAGATGTCCGATACACAGCAGTAAGCAGTTTTATTTTCCTGCGTTTCTTTGCTCCGGCCATCCTCTCCCCCAACTTGTTCCATCTACGGCCGCACCATCCAGTGAGTCTGATATAAAATAACACACATACTGTACATGAAACCTAAATCTGCAGATATACCTCTTTTAGTTGTCCTAACATTTTCTTTAAATTCTTTTTTTTCCTGTGAAGCTCAAAGTTTGTATTGACTTTGAAGACATCTCTTTGTTTTTCTGGCCCATCCAGTGTTTTTTTTATGATGAACTCAAGTGTGAAATTCTCAAGATCTGATTTGTCTCCCTAGGATCCCGCCACCTCTCGAACCCTAACCCTCATCTCCAAGACGATCCAGACCCTGGGAAGTCTTGCCAAGTCTAAATCTGTACGTTTCTCTGAGTAAAGTGTATTTTCCTTTTTTCACTCCTGTAACTGAACTAGGCTTCATTTGTATTACTGTCTAAAAAATGAAATTGAAATGTACTAATCTTCCTCTCATTGTCTCTTTCTTTCCCTGCCTCTAATTCCTTTCAAGGCCAATTTCAAAGAGTCTTACATGGCCGCATTTTACGAGTACTTCAATGAGCAGAAATATGCGGACGCTGTGAAGAATGTGAGTGTTCGACTTCCTCCCTTGTTTCATGCAATAAATCTCCAGCACTTTGTAGACTCATGAAATATTCTCTTTGTCTTGTATGTCAGATAAAGATATGCCGGCTCAGTTTAGACATTTGGAAGAACAGTACAATTTGCATGAAATGGAGCCAAAGTTAGTACCAGAGTAATCATGTTGTTATATGATATCCTTTACTTTCCTACTCAGTTCCTGGACCTGATCTCCACCTCTGGCAAATGGGATCAGAAGAGTATTGAGACTCCAATCATGCTCAAAGAGGGGTGAGTAGCAAACATATTAATAAACCAAGATTCATGGAAAGTAACGGCCCAAAAACAAAATATACAAACAGCTATCACAATATCGCTTAGGAGTCCTTTATTTGTGATATTGGAATAATTTAGAGAGTTTATGAAGCAGTAATTTAGGATGTTGTAATTGTATTACAACTGTATTATGAACTGTGGCTATTTCCTTTTCACTGCTAATTAAGCAGCTTTAATTTTTTTATTTTCACCATCCTATTAAGGTTCTCCTGGCACTTTTATAGCTTTAAAGAGTTAGGTTGACAATTAATGCTTCAAGAAAGAATAGTTCAACATTTTGTGAAATATTCACTATATAGCAGGAATTCGATAATACCCACATGTCTGTATGTTGTCTGTATGTAGCTATGGCAGGCACAAGGGTAATTTATGACACACATTTTGTATTCTTTGTTTAAATAGTGCCAAAACCAAAGTGTAAAATTGGTTACAGTACCCTCTGTGTTATGAGGTGATTTAAGCCATTTACTTGACTGACCTGAAACCAGTATATGTGGTGTGTCTGCCATTGGCCTGGCAACTGTTCAGAAGAAAGAGGAAATAGTCTGGCACATAATCTCCTAAACTGCAGATTTTCACTTTGACAGTTTTGACAAACTAGATAGTTATCAGTGAACTTGAATTCCTTATTGTAAGTCGTTTTGGATAAAGGCGCAACCCTGTTGCTGCTTGTACAACTGAATTTCCCCATGGGGATTAATAAAGGTCCATCTTATCTTATCTTAAATGCCATGTAATGTAATGCTGGCAACTGGAAACCTAACCCACACTAGCTGTTTCCAGTCTCTATGCTGAGCAAACATAGCTGGATGATATCTGTCAGTACATACGAGAGATTGGTGTCAATCTTATCTTCCAATTCCATACGAATATTTCCCAAATTGTCAAATCACTCCTCAGGTATATTTTACCTTCACATATTGGATCCCTCATGCTCCTATTCATGACCAAAGTGAACAGTTACAGTATAGACAAACCCTTGGCTGTAAACTCCTCCAACAACACATGGGTGGTTGTTTTGATTATATTTCTAATGAGGGTGTAAAGGGAAGGAGAGTTTCCAGTTGACAGTAGGTGTGCCGGGCCTCTTTATCAACATCCTCCACCCTCTTTTGTTTCTGCTACCGGGCATAGGAGTGTAAAACTCACTATAAAGAGGATTGATGGGAAAGGGTCAAAAAGCACGAAGGGCAGGTAAGAAGCTTCTCAATATAAAGGCTTTGCCCTTGTGACCCCCTGTGTTTGCACTGTAACCCCCCCCCCCCCCCAGACCAAGCCGGCCGTGTTCTCTCCCGCCCCGACATCATACGCTGCTGTAGATGCTGCTGCACTTTACTTTATATCTGGCCTGTAAGCAACTCTCTGTCACACTGTTTGACACTGGGTGATGGATTTGAGTCTGTCTGCATTACAATGGCAGTGGACTGGTGCGTTCAGTGACTGTATGAAGTAAAGTGTTAACCTTAAAGCCTTCAGCCATCACTAGTGCTGGTAGCCCACCTCCATCCTTGACGTGCCAGACATGCTTGATGTGATGGTGACAGCAGGGGTTGGTTGCTGTACAAACATTTCTGGGATCTCATATCTGCCCGCATCCTGACCGTTTATACCTTTTGTCCAGACTGTGACCATATCGCTGCCATAACAACTTTTTTTTACAAAAGCATGCATGCAGATCCATGGTATAGCGCTCAATTGAGTCTGTACTAGTAGTGACGTTTTGCGCATACCATTATTAGCTTTATACTGGAAATGTCACTGGTCAATATTATACTGTATGTTCATGGAAGCTTTATCATCTATTTTTTCAGTCTTTTTCCTATTGCTACCATACACATAGAGTTCCTGGTACTCTCTAGATGTGAAACCAGCAGCTTAGTAGTTGAAAAGTCTTCCTGTTTGACACTTGTAACTTTGGTGTTTCCTATTCCATGTATGCAATGGCCCTCAAACTTTTAAAGGTCCCATGACATGGCCATTTCTACTGATCATAATTCCATTGTTGAGGTCTACTAGAATAGATTTACATTGTTCAATATTCTAAACTCACATTGGTTTCTCATACAGCATCTCTGTATAGTATGTGTATTCACTCTCTGTCTAACACGGCTTGTTGGAGCTCCTGACCCCCCCCCCTCCCCTCCCCTCCCCTCCCTATGAGCCCAGTGTGCTCTGATTGGTCAGCTCGCCCACTCTGTTCTGATGAGTCCACCACCGTTACAGCTGGACATCAGTGTTTATGTGTTACAATGGCATTTGTTAGCAACCCAAAAAAATGACACCAGTAAGGACAAACAGATGAGAATGCTGCGTGGGTCTGGGTGCCGTGTTGGCGGGGCTCGCTGCTCCGCCCTTTGAGGCTCGAGGAGCGGACAGTGTGAGCTGGATTACTGGTGTCGTTTCCTGGTTGCTGCGAGACAGCAAGACACTGTGGAACTCAGCCTGAGCACACACAAAGCTTGTGAGAGTGTGTGTCTGCGGAAATCCGCAGAGCCGCGGCTGAGAAAAGATAAGGCTGAGTGAGTGTGTGTTACGTCACTATGACCCTTACGTCACTACGACCAGGAAGAAAAAAACGTAAAAAGAAAAATCTCCAGCGAGGCGTTCTGGGGCAGCATAGACAGGAATTTTCTGTGTTAGAGTTGTACTCGCTACAGGGAGTACTTTGAGGGTTTCTGACTTTGCAGACCGTTTACATGCAGAAAAAAGCCTTATAACACACAAGGGGACGGGTAATAACCAGAAAAGCATGACATGGGACCTTTCAATAAATTACAAATCCTGGTGTTTTCTTTCCCTTAAAGACCATACTGGTTGTTTTACATGTTTTAGCCTAATACCAACAAATAGTGTATAGCCTAATCAGATCTAACATCTGATTATTTATTTTTTGAAATGCCTTAATCACTCTATTAATAAAACAGTTGCAGATTATCTTTTCAAGTCTATGCAAGTTAATGTGTTATAAGGTACTGAAAGAAAATGGTAGCCAGTAGCTGTTTGTATGGAAACATATTAAAATGTGCGTTATTATTTGGTAAAAAATATTAGTACACAATTTGTAGGTAACGGGGTAAAACATGCAAAGACACAGGGATCTTTGATTTGCTGACCAATCTCCTTTTTGACTCAGACTATTAAAAGTGTTCAAAATGATTTACAGTGACTGCAAGCATGTATACTGAATGATGAATGTAAACCGCACAGGATTCCTTTAAAAATAATGAAATGGTGGTAACACGTTTTTCATGCAAAGTCATTCATTTATATTCTAATCCATCAAGGTACTGCACTATTTTAGCACTTAAGACATGTCTATATATAGGATGCATCGTGCCAGATTAATAACAATATTGTGATATATTTTTTATTTCTGTGAACCATGAGCTCATCTGTCAAGTCTTTCATTGGTATGTTTCTCACTCATTTTCCTCAGATTTATGATAAAAGGGCACAAGGGAGGAACCGGTTCGGAATGAAGAACTTCAAGAAGAGATGGTTTCGCCTCACCAACCACGAGTTTACCTACCACAAGACGAAAGGTGAGAATCTGCTGAATGTACAGTTTGAACAAAATGTGCGTTTAACACATGTGGTGAAGATTAGGTTACTGCAGGAAATACATTTGTGCTGCATACAAACAAGGTCAGGCCAAAACACTCACACATGCTGTTTCCTAAATCCTACACTACATAAAAGCAGAAAAAGAGGTTATAAGAAAGTGATGAAATCAAGTTTACTCAAATTAGTCAGTGTACAGCACAACTTAAAAAAAAAAAAACACATTTTATTGTGCTTTTGATAAACACTGTTTAGAATTTGGCAGATTAACAAAGCATCTATTTGTATTACTTCAAGTTAATCAATGTAATTATCACACAGCAAAATCTGTATATTTGTTACTCTCTAATGCTGGTTTATTTCTATTTTTAGATGTTTATCATTTTAGAATTGTTTATTTCTACTATTTATTTATTATGTGCAATGCCTTGGTTTGTTTTATGCTGCTGCAACGAAAAAAAATCCCAAATTGAGATTAAGTACATTTTATCTTATTTTACATCCTTTACTTTTTTTTCATGTCTGATGTATATTTCCTTTTATGTCCAGGTGAGGGTGCTCTGTGCAGCATTCCCATAGAGAACATTCTGGCTGTAGAGAGGCTCGAGGAGGAGTCTTTCAAGATGAAAAATGTAAGGACCACACACAGCCATGACATCTCTGGAGCTTTGCGCATTTGGCCCAAATCATTCCTACATGTTTTTAGGTTCTTTCCTCACTTGCTGTCCCTTTTTCCCTCCTCCAGATGTTCCAGGTTATTCAGCCAGAACGGGCGCTCTACATCCAGGCCAACAATTGCGTAGAAGCACGAGACTGGATCGACATCCTGACCAAAGTCAGCCAGTGTAACCGCAAACGCCTGAGCACCTACCATCCTTCAGCTTACCTCAACGGCCACTGGCTCTGCTGCAAGCTGTCTGCAGACACAGCGCCCGGGTGTACGCCCTGCACCGGGTATGTAAAGCATCCAGCATCGTGCTCCTTTCCTGTGTTTCCATGCTCTCATCCTCCTGTATGCATCTGTTTTCAGAGGCCTTCCAGCAAACATCCAGCTGGATGTAGATGGAGACAGGGAGACGGAGAGGATTTACTCCCTATTCAGCACATACATGACCAAACTGATCAAGATGCAAGGTCAGTAGATGATTCAGCGTTTTTAAGTGTTTGTGAGTAGGTTGCATATTTTCCATATTCATCCTCACTCTGCTGTCTTCCCCTGCAGAGGCCTGCGGCAGTAAGTCTGTGTACGACGGGCCCGAACTGGAGGAGTACTCCACCTTTGTCATCGATGACCCTCAGGAGACATACAAAACTCTGAAACTGATTGTTTCAGCCGTGCAGACGTTGGAGCAGCAGCACACCAAGTACAAACGCGACAAGTTCAAGAAGACAAAGATAGGAAGCCAGTACGTGCTTTTTTGTGCAAACTACTGTTTTGTATTTGTAATTAACTTCAATGGAGGCTGAGAAACTGTGGAAAACATTTTAAGTGTAAACTAAATGTGACCTGCCCCACCGGGGAGGGGGGGCTGCGATAATAAAAGGGGGTTAGGATACTTAACGCTAACCTGGGTTCCCCAATACGAGCCCTTAGGACAAGTCACGCAGATAAGAATAAAAGGATGGACAGGGACGCGGCCTCAAGTTCAAATGTTTACAAACGTTTATTATATAAATAATCAAGTAAAAGTTCAGTAATATAAAATGCAGATTAAAACTTATTCAGCTTTCCCAGTCAACACACCTAAGTCCCACGATTGAAGGCTGGCTCTGACAAGGAGAGAATAACTAGAAAAATTACAATATCACACATATAGTGATAGTTAAATAGTTAAAAAGTGATTCTTCTGGCCAACTGCTGAGGGTTTCCCCAAAACCACAATATCACCACGTGTAGCTGTATTCGATCAACACTCACTACAAATCACCCATATCTGCATGCAAAAAGTGCCCAGCAAACCACATGCTCCACTCCACAGTATGGCCAGGATCGTCACTGAAGAAGTATAAGCACAGAGACAGTATTAGACCTTGTGGGACAGGGTGGGTCGTTACAAGGAGGGTGCTGTAGCTTTAAAGATTTAAATCACTAGTTTGTACACAATACAACAAACTAGTCAATAAGCAAAACATAGAAGGTAGGCAAAACGGTAGCAAACTAATCCTAAAATAAATGGAGAAAGGAGATTAGAAATTGTATAAAGATTTATATGAATGTCCTTCAATGTACATACAATTAATCTCCTACCTCTGATGCAAACGCATTCACTCGATGATCACCTCACTGGACACCTCTGCAACGGTCAAGAAGCCTGGCGTTTACAGGCCACATGTTAACCATTTAGTGGTACACTGAATGTTACAAGTCCTAACAGCAGCTTCACATACCTCGTATAGGGGGAATACACGCCTATCAGCCAGACAACGATAACTGGAACAAGAACACTCGTAATAGTCACAGCTGATTTGGGTGAGGAGTGAGTGGGCATTTAAAGTGTGGCGGGAGATGCTGAACTCCGTACAGCTGCGCGTTTTCCTTATATGGAAGGGCCAGCTGACTAAAGAAGGGGGGGGGGTGTCTTAAAGGGCCAGTGGCGGCCCAGCCACGTGAAGAAATTATCTGACAGCTAATCCAGAAAACAGTAGCGCCGGCTACATGTAGTTCAATCATTTCCCCCTTTGGGCCAGCAGATGGGGCAATCAAGTACAAAGTGTGTCAGAGATTATATAAAGCACTTTTTAAATAACACTGCTGATAACCTGATTATCTTGACAGAGCCATTTAGTTATTTCTGTTCTATTTTCAGCCCCATACCTCCTGACACCAAATCAAAAACATGTTTCTTTTTGTGTCCTCAGGGAGCATCCGATTGGAGACAAGAGTTTTCAGTGCTACATCCGCCAGCAGTCCGAGAGCTCCACCTACTCCATCTAGCCCTGCGCACTGTTTCTATGATGCCCAGAACCAGCATATTTGTCTTCACTGCAAAACATCTTAACAATGCTCCTTGTCAAGTATTCAGTTTTAAAACTTAACGTTTCCTTAAAATAAGGTTTTAATTAACGTGAGATCATTTCACTTATTTCCAATGCAATGTATCCAAGCCTTGAAGGGCAAGATATCACTTTTTTAAAGACTTTTCCGGAAGCAAGTGATGCTGTTTTGGAAACAAGTGTCAAATGACACATTTATTTGATCAGCTTTAAGGAAAGTTATTTTTAAAAGTCAATACCAGACTGAGGGCGCTGTGCAGATGGACTTTGTTTTTGGCCATTGTTTCAAGATGCATCACTCCAAATCTGGAGAACAGACCTCAGATGAGCATGAAAAGGAATGGGTTGTGGAGGAAAGGAGGGATACGATGAAGACATAATCATACCCACATATATTAGGGTCTCCTGTCTGTGATCTGACGAGAGAACACAAGTTTTCACTGGACAGTTTTGGCAGTGACCAGTACGCACTTTAATCGCTTCCAAATCTATGGATGAACAAGCCTCGCAGCACACTTTCATTTTGTTATTTTAATGGTTGATATGTTGAAATATTCCGTTGTATTTCACTCCAGAAGGAAGGGAGTAAGGAAGGACTGTAATTCTTCCCTTTTTTGAGTGGTGTTTAATTTTTGTCCCCATCCTCCTCAGGAAGGTTGTGAAGGTCGAGGGCACACAAGGGATTGTTGGGACCAATCACAGCCAAGAGCAGCATGATTTTGTCAATGTTAGCAATCACTTTTATCCTGTATTTTTTATCATCATCATCCACGTGCTAACAGAAGTTAAGGGTTCACATTTACTCGTTTAGTTTGAAGCCTTGTCATGCTCCTGTTTAACAGTAACCTGTACCTGTACACAAATCCGTGTATCATTTTTATGTTTTTATCCTTAAGGGTGTCAAAATGAAGCTTCTCTTTTTTAAGTAGGACAAAATACACTGGATAGCTATTAAGTTATAAACTCCTTCTATGACCAAAGAAAATAGATCATGTCAACATTTAGTCGTCGTTTTGGGTTGATATCAGGGCCATATTACCCACCAGAGGCTCATGGTAAAAATGTGTTTGCTGTGGGCCCCTTTTTACAATCTTTGAATTTTACATTTGTGTAAAAGTATAAATATATACTGAAAGAAATAATACACAATACACTCAGTGGCCACTTTATTAGACACAATAGGACAATAAAGTAGATAGATCAAGTGTCTCTTTGAAATATTCAACCTTTACTCAGTTAATGATGTTACATTTGTGTAACATTGTCAGTGATAATTGTTTATTATAGAAGGCAGTTAGTTAATGTTAATGGTGGTGTTCTTCTGGACTAGATATAATTGATAAGTGTTTCATAATTTGATTTGGAAGAAACAAAACATCTCTGAATACAACGCACTCCAGAACAACACCATCACTTACTATGACCTCAATAATACTCATATCACTTTAGTAACATATCCATGATGGTGTCACAAAGCCTGAACGTTATAGTCATAATGGAAGTGGTCTTTATGGAAGAAAAGTTATATTTGATTGCTTTTCGCTATACATAATTATTATTATTATAATAACACATTTTGGAATTAATAACTTTAATTTACCTGAAACGATTTGCCACCTTGGCCAGTTGCCTGTTGGTAGTCTGAACATGGTTAACATGCACACAAATTGATGGTGGATACATATAAGTGATTTTGCTGCTTTCAAGAGGTGCCGATATTTGTTCCCGATGTCCATTTATTGAGCATTGGCTACGATAAGCATTCATTCAACACACAAACTGCATGCAGACACGATATGTTTGCTTCACTCTGTGTTAGTAAAATGTTCAAGCTAAACTATCCCTTCATCCATCACAAAGCATAAACCATATGTTTGCACAGCTCATCAACACGGACAGCTTTTAGCTTTACTTCTAATTAACTGATATACTAACTTTTTTAACCAGTCTTGTCTCAAGTTATGATTGTGAAATGGATAGTGTGTTACTGGTTGTGTTGCCCTGTTGGCTGCCTAATAATGTTAATTTCTGTTTAGTGAGTTAGCTCTGTCTTACTTTGGAAAAGCTGCACCCTGTATTTGAAAGTCTATTTATATGCATTCCTCTGAGAAACTGCCTGCTGTGAATCTTAGCGCTCAGCACCCCAACATCTGTTGAAGGTACGGGATTTATCGTTGTGAACCAGTCGTGTTATGTTCTACGCTTCCCAAAGGCAACCACTCTCTTTGGCATTGATATTCATCAGCACTCACTCTTGCCAAAACCAGTGCATGTGAAGTATAGTTGTAGTCACAGTGTATGTAGCCTGCACAGTCACTTCTGTGCGACCAGGACACTACAAACCACAACAAATTTTGTATTTTACACAAAAAAGTACCTGGTTCAATAGCCTCATGTGTGCTCTAGTGATCACAGGATCCTAAACAGTGCCAGTCATCACTTTTTTTAAATTCTCTTTTTGAAAAACAAACAAAAAAAATCATTGTTTTTTATAAACTGATACTGTTTTAAAAACAGTAAAGCAATTATTCCAATCCAATGACATCTTTTTCTTTGTCAAACGTGTTGATCTCTGAACTAAAGGAAAGGTTCTCAACACTTTGACTCTGTTTTCTATCTTTGTCTTCATACAGAAATATTCACTGTGTATCTGAACCGAATGACTGAGATGTGTGTGCGTTTCTGCATATATATGTGTGTTTGTGAGCGTGCATTTGTTGGCATGTGCATATGTGAGTGACATGACGGGTTGAATTGCCAATTGATTTACCCCAGTGTTACAGGTGGAGAGAGTCCCACTTCAAAACTTCTTAAAAAGAGAAAATCACTGCCTGTAATTATACTGAAGAGTGTAGTACTCTGGCCTGACATCTCCTCTTTTCTCTTGTATAGAACCACTGTTCCATCTCAAGGAACCTTTGCCAATATATTCTCCACTCATGTTATGTATGTAACAGTTCTTCACATTGATGACACATTAAGAGAGCAGCTGTAACCTCTAAACTTTGGTGAGTGTTACTAACTCTCCTCAGGTTTATGAAACTCAGCACTGTGTGTGTTATTTTGCGACTGAAGTATAAGCCACCAAACATTTCTGTCACTCATCCCTAATTTGGTAATCCTATTTATTATCATTTCTGAAAAACCTTCCCAGAAACATCGGCTGGGGAGAGGAGGAGGGGGGGGGTTAATGTCAGTTACATTAACGACAAACCCTCTACCCGGAATCCCACAAAGGAATGACTTATTATGCAATAATGGTGTTTCAGCATGCAGTAATAGTAACAACCCCTCAATAAGCCCCTCAAATTATGAACAAGCATCTGCTAACCTTTTGCAGTGAAATTCCTCCTCAAATAAACACCTACTATAAGGGAGAACAGTGTATTTTGTAAAAATATTTTCAAAGTATTAAAAAAAGCCTGTTATGTGTACATAAAACAGTTGAATGAATGGTGAAAATGTGATATGTTTTTTCCTGAATAACAAAATGAAACCAATATTAATGCAAACATGGTGTCTGTGTCATTTGTCGTTCAAATTCTAAACTAAACCACTCAAGGCTTTCATTTTTGTTTTAACAAGTATAGCTATTTAGATCAAATAAGTCAGATAACGGGGAAGCGGTTTTGATGTTTGTGTCCATTATTTGGGTCCAGGTGTTACCTTTTATGAATGAATTATTCTTAAACTTATTCACAGAAAACATGTTGACATAACAGCTGATGTACATAGATGTAAATTATAGCATAAATAAATATACATGTTCTTGGTATAGCTTATTGGCTTTAATAGTGTTGTTATTGCTTCAACCTGTGGTTTTTTTCCCACCATGAAAAGTCAAAGGCCTACAATATATTTGAGAAACATGCCTCCCAAATTATGTCAAGCTATTTTCCCATGCATGCAATGTTGCCCATTGGCTTTTTGTGAACTATCATGTCCAGTGAATCACCTGAATTTAACTGTAATGGAGGTCCTCTTAAAATGAATTGGCAGAAACAGTTTGCAAGAGCAGATTCAGTACTTCTGTCCCAGCTGTTCAAATAGTGTGTGCGTGTGTGTGCGCGCGTGTGCGTGGGTGTAGGTGTGTGTGTGCGTGTGTGTGTTAGCAGCGCTCCCTAGCTGCCTGCTCTGCTCTCCTGGCAGCCTCCTCCTCTCCCCCACTCTCTACGGAAACACTTTCGGGAAGAATAAGCTTTTTCCTGCTCTCGGCCAGTCTTTAGTCGGAGCCGTGGCCTAGCAGGAAGAACAGCTCTACTATGTGGAGAAAGAAACGGGACCTTTGGGATTCCCTGGCGTGTCTCGTATTTCTCGTGACGCTCGTCGATGCTTATCGATGTAAGTATGCGACTGTTGGGCTTTTGCGGTGTGCAGTTTTCAACCCTACGTACTTGGAGAGCAGTTAACGGAATTGCGTTTTGCAGTGTGTTTACAGTCAGCAGATAGCATTCTGGATGGGACCAGTTCAGGATTTGGTATAACTTTTTAAGCTAACAGACAAACAAGTGTGAGGGGGCATGTCTCATTACTATGAAACAACGCTTGCACAACATGAGCTGCTCTCAACAACAACTAGGGGGTCATTTCTGGGAAGTAACGGTTTCGCAATGACCTAATTATTTTTTATTTCAAGCCTTTTCAAAGAATGAGGTAGTCAACTTTGTGCATGCAAGCAGCAGCCATATCAGCCATCATGAGGACAGTAATTCCTGCTGGGATCAGTCATATTGTAGCTGCCTGCTGGTATTAATCAGTGAAAGTATCACTGCACTGTAAACAGCTGTGTTCACTTTTGAGTGATGTGATGGCAAGCACTGACATTGGAAATATAGCTGCAGATTGTGTATTTTAATGAGTAGGCCTATGTGTTGTTATAGCTGCACGATGTGTATCTTTATCAGTGTGTGTTGTTATCTGCACGATGTGTATCTTTATGAGTGTGTGTTGTCATATACTCATATATTTCCCTAGTCCTGAGCCAGAGCACAGCCTCGCAGTTCCTGAGCAGGCACCGGAGAGCCAACTCTCTGTTTGAGGAGAGTAAGAAGGGCAACCTGGAGAGGGAGTGCATCGAGGAGCTGTGCAACAAGGAGGAGGCCAGGGAGATCTTTGAGAACACGCCGGAAACGGTGAGAGAGAGGAGCACAATGTGCTGAGGGCTGGGAGCCTGGGTCCATTTGCTTTGGTCGATTTAAGTCATGAAATATTAAAACATGTCCATCCTAGTTTCTCAAAGTCAAAAGAGTTTCCAAATGTTTTCTTTCAGTCTTTAACCCAAATATATTCACTTTCAAATGATATAAAATGAAATAGTCCATTTCCATAAATGAGGGGGTTAAAACAGCATATTCTGACACATTTAAATAAAAAATGACCTTCATTATTTATAAAATTATTAAATAATTTGCCATTCTTTTTCTGCAATTGTAATCGTTGAAGATGTATTCTAAAGGACCTCTAAAAAGGAATGCGAAAGAAGAAATTGAAAGTTATAAACATTTCTGTTTCAAGCAGAGCATTTCTTCACAGCACAGAGCTGGCTGCAACCTACTTTCTTTATACTTCCTTTTTGTCAAATAAATGTGAATTTTAAATCTCTTTTTCTCCAGGAATACTTCTACCCCAAATATGTTGGTAAGTCTGCACCTTTTTTCTCTTAATATGTTTTAATATCAGCTTTAATTTGCAGTTATCAGTCTGTTCTAATAACACATAAAAAAAATGGTTGCAGCGTGCCTGGGTTCACACCGTGTCGGCATCAACAACCCGAACTCAGACGCCATCCCATCAGACCTCCGCACCTGTGTGAAGGGTGAGGGCCATTTTAGTAGAACATGCATTTTTATGTCAGTTAGTCCTTAAAACTCATTTAGGTTTCCTACCTGTGAACGTTTTTTGTCAATGCAATCATTAACATCCTGTGTGTGTGTGTGTGTGTGTGTGTGTGTGTGTGTGTGTGTGTGTGTGTGTGTGTGTGTGTGTGTGTGTGTGTGTGTGTGTGTGTGGGGTGTGTGTGTGTGTGTGTGTGTGTGTGTGTGTGTGTGTGTGTGTGTGTGTGGTGTGTGTGTGTGTGTGTGTGTGTGTGTGTGTGTGTGTGTGTGTGTGTGTGTGTGTGTGTGTGTGTTGTGTGTGTGTGTGTGTGTCTGCAGAGATCAGTGACCAGTGCACACCGCCTCCATGCTACAAGGAGGGATCAGTGCGCTGCGTGGACGGACAGGCCACCTTCACCTGTGAGTGTAAACCTGGATGGAAGGGGCGGCGCTGTGAAGACGGTGAGTTGTTATGCGTCATTTAGGATTTTAAATATTTGTGTTCATCTTCTCAATATTTACTCGTCTCTGTGCTTTTTGGCTGACATAAACATAACACACTTTATCTATATCTGCTGCTGATAAATGTTGTTGTGTTATGTGACCACTTGACAGACATCAATGAGTGTTCAGACCCTGAATTTCCTGCGGGATGCAACCAAAAATGTTACAACATACCCGGTAGTTTCCACTGCAAGTGTGAAGATGGCTACTTCCTCAATGACAAGGTCCACTGCAGGGGTAAGTCTCCATTCATTTATGATACAATTTGTGCTCCTAAACTGTAAGAATGTTATGAACCATTAATTTGTTTTCAATCAAACCAAAGGACAGAAAAGTAAAGTGTGTGTGTGTGCTAGTTTGTGTAATTGTTGCTCTTATGTCATATATGTAGACACCCAGCAGTTTGTACTGTCCTTATGGAAGAGGGACATATAGTGCTATAGTGCTACTAAGCAGCTGAGCAAACACATGTTTCTTCCCCTTCCTTTTGATAACTTCCTTTACATTTTTTCATATGGACAGTGGAACCCTACGTACTTCATAACAAAACCTCTGTTGTCCAGCTGTCGTCCTCAGGGCCTGAATTTATTATTTCTAAAGCTGACCTGAGGTGACCTCTTATGCAACTGAATGAAAAAAAGCTTTTAACATCAGAAAAGAGGGTCCATCCTTTCTTTCTGTAAAAATCCCACCAGTATCACATCTCTGAGCTGTTATACTTACTAATAGATTGTAGGTGCTTGTTTTCCCATTGTTGGCCCATTTCCATCCGTCCATTTTGTTTGGGGACATCACGTTAGGGCTTGTTGAGTACAAAGTCTTCACAAACATGGTCTGAGTCATTTTGGTAAACTTATTTTGACCTCTACTTTTTGATGAGTAAGGAGACCATACAAGGATTTATGAAGTTTCAAGCAAACACTGATATCAATTTTTTTTTTTGGAGCATACAAGTTAGTTGCAAATCAAACACATTTGCAATTAATTAATTAAATGTTTTTTTTCACGGAATGGCTAGAAATATTGAAAAATGCCGCAAATACTCCCATTGTCACTCTTTTCCAGATATCGATGAATGCCTGCTGTACCCCAGGATCTGTGAAGCACCGGCTAAATGTGTCAACACGCCGGGCATGTATGAGTGCAGCTGTCCTCAGGGTTTCAAATACAACTTCACATCAAAAACTTGTAACGGTGAGACTTCAATCTGTTGTTATTATCTTCTTACCAAGAGCCATTTTGTCAGAAAGTCCACAAATCAATAAAGCTACCAAAGCCAATGTACAAATGATCACCGCTCATACGTCTTTCTCTTCCTTTTTTTTGCAGATATTGATGAGTGCCTGTTAAATGTGTGTGACGGGACTTGTATCAACACAGTGGGCAGCTATGCATGCCACTGTGATGGTCGTCAGGGTCTTCGTCTGGCCGAGGATCAGCGGTACTGTGAGAGTATCCCTGTTTGTGTGGAGCTGTATGACCACAGACACCCTGAGATGCTGTACCTGGGGGAGCAGTTCGCAGGACTTCCTGTCATCTATCTGCGCTTCCGTCTGCCAGAGAACACCAAGTGAGGGGCTACCAAAAACACACACACACATAATGTAGAGTACTTTTTAAAAATGAAGTAAGAAGGGATATTTGCCCCATTTAGAATGAGGATAGAAATAGAATTTTTTTAATAATTTAGATGCTGGGATTTAGATGTTTGTAAGATACAGCTCAAGGCTCCATTTCAGCCCAACTATAATAAACATATTTTATGTAAATTCCATTACTGAAAATTACGAAGTCAGGAAATGCCTAGAAAGGGAGTGGGCTGCAACATTGTATTGTCAATGTATTTACATTCTCTCTAAAGTCTAATTTCTGTCCTCATGTACTTGGCAGGTTCGCAGCAGAGTTTGATTTCCGCACATTTGACCCTGAGGGAGTGGTGCTGTATGCCGAGTCCTCGCAGGACTCGTGGTTTATGTTGGGACTAAGAGGTGGACGCATTGAAGTCCAGTTCAAAAACCAGCACACCTTCAAAGTCACCAGCGGAGGAAAGGCCATCAATGATGGACAGTGGCATGTGGTAAGAAAGAGCCTTTAGTGGATCAGTGGTAGAGCTTTTCATAGTTAAAGTGCCTAATCGATAAACAGAATTTACGGAAAGTGGTGTGTGTTGCGTCTAACTAGCTCTGGTGTTTAAC